AATGTACTTTAAAAATACTAACTGAATTATTTTAGAAAAAGGAACAGGGACTTAGGTGAACGAAAATTTATTTTTTATTGTGCATTTTAAAATTAGAAAAAAAAAAGTTTCTAATAAAGTCTCTAATTTAGTGACGAATTCGATATTCTAATTTAGAAATGCGTAGATTCAAGCTTTGCATTAAATGGAGAGATATTTTTTTCTCAAAAAATAGATCTTATGTCCCAAATCTCACATTATTAAGAAATTATAAGTGAATATGTTAAATAAGTGTAAAGATCAAATAACTTGAGTTTAAGATTTTTAAAGTACGTAGAGTTTGATTCAAAGAACTGTTAAACCAGTAGTAATTTTTAAATTAAATGATTGTAATTAATATCAAAACAGTTACCTTTCATAGATATAAACGCATACTAACCACTATAATTAGTAGTAATATACACTTCATATCACTTAAAATAAATCATGTATTTTTCACTTAACAACTTTCTTTATCAATTTTTCATTCAATAAAATTTTCTTGTAAAACTTACCAATTTTTTTTTACAATATTTTTTAATTTTTTATATAATTCTTTTTTTTTTAATAAAATTTTTCTTAATAGAATTATTCTCTAACTAAAGACATAGTAAGAATTGTCTTTCTTTTTTCTTTTTTTTTTTTGGTAAAGTTAGTAAGAATTGTCTGGTTAGCTATATTGGCGGTCAACAAGTCCAGTCGGAGTATCTTTCAATTCTTTCTTAATTAATATTTTTTCTAGCATAAAATACTTTAGGATTTTTTTAATGAATCACAGAGAATTTTGGTTTTCAAAATAAAAAATCAAAAAGAGTGTTAACTTGCTAAGTGTTTTTCAGCCTTTTTCTAAATTCCTATAAGTCGATAAACTAGTATTTTTTTTCTTTTATGGAGATAAACTAGTATTTAATCTGCTAGCATAAACATAATTTATTTGAGTACAAAAGTTAAAGAGGAAGAGAATAAGGTTACTTGTTTATTAAAAGTAATTAAATAATCATCTTATAAATCATAATAATTAAAAAAATGATACTCTTATTTTAATAATTATTAAAAAAATTACTAATTAAAATAATACTCATGTTTCCAATTTCCAAAAGAACTAGGATATCCAAACATATTAGTTGTACTACCATGTTAAAGAGGTAGAAATAAAATAAATTATTTGAAGGTGAGTAGCTCGAAAAAGGAACTGTAAATGAGAATTGAGACCCTAAATTAAACAAGGGAACCTCGACATAAGAGATAATGATTAACACAGGCAATGTTATGTAATCATGATTGTGCTTCTTCATAATTCATAATTCGTATGTTAAACCGGTACATAATTCATATGGCTTCGCCAGTGTGCACGCATGTCTATATATATTTAAGTTTCATGATTTAGTGAAGGCAGGCTTCAAAAAACAATCTGTTCGGCAACTTTGCTTGTGGCTTTAAGTCAAAGAAATATAATTTGGGATCAAAGCCACGACAATGGTCATTTAATCTGCACTCATAAGCAAATATAGTAATACACCTATTATTAATTTATCTATCTAGAACTTTTTCTTTCTTTCTTTCTTTATTTTTTGAACAAAAAAAATTAATATAATTAGTTAGAGATTGAGGTTTTACAATCAGCCTTAAAGGAAAAATCATCAATCCTGTTAAAATTAGTATTACTAAAAGTAGTATTGATGAATGTTTATTTATCTTATTTATTAACAATATTTTAGTCTTTTCTTATGTAAGATTAATACATTTTTTTTGCCTCAAAATAATAGATATTTTTTATTTAAATTTTGTCTTTAAATAATAGTAATTTTTTATGTTTTAAAGGAAATAAATATTTTTTTTGTATTTAACTTTATTATTACCTCTCAATTTTAATGAGTCATCTTATCATAAAATAAAAAGGTCTCTTTATTTTTCTTTCTTTTTAGGTAAAACAGATAAAAATAAAAATGGTCTCTAAATCTTTAATTCTAAAATAAAAACAAAAATCTTTTATCATT